TCTTCCCTTAGATCTACTTCTCCGCTAGTGCGAGGCTCTCAGGCTAACCTAAGTGGGGGTGGGGGTGGGGTGGAGGGGAATGAAACTGTCTTTTTCTAGCCATCGGTGACACAGCCCAGGAAGTCTGGAACAAGGGACCTGCGCCCTCCAGAAGGCGGTCTGCCCCTACCTCGACCCTGCTCTCCCACTCACCTTCCGGAAGGAGCCTGGGTCGCTTCACGCCCAACTCACTCCGACTGAAGACCTGGAGCCTGTGGGGCTCTCGGGGCCAATCGCGGGATTTGGCCTTTTGCCCTTTCCAATCCCCACCTCTTCCTCCAGAGGCGTAGCTAGAGGGCCCTGGTGTGTGTGTGTGTGTGTGTGTGTGTGTGTGTGTGTAGGGGGGGAAGGGCGAGAGAAAGTCCTTGACCTCTCTCCTCTACCCGCCCCGGGAAGGCTGTGCTGGTGGCATGTGCCCACTTCAGCCAGCCTTCGGGAAAAGGCCTCACTTTCGCTCTCATCTCTTCTCTTTTATTTCCTTCCCTTCTTTTTTCTTCCCTTCTCTTCCTTTCCTTTCTCCCTCCCCCTTTCCTCATTTTCGTCTTTGTCTTTGGCTCTGGGGCTCTCTGTGTGCGGCTCCCCATTTTTCTCTGTTCGTCCATCCTCCGCCTTTGCCTTGGAAGGTTTCGATCTTTTCCCTCTGTCTCCTTTTCTCGGTCTTTCGTGTCTCTTTGTGCATCTATTTCTATTTCTCTGCCTCTCTTCCTCCGTTGTTCTTCCTTTGCCGCATCTTCCTGTCTTTGTCTCAGTTATCTCTCTTCCTAGTTTCTCGAGTTTCTGGGCAAGCGGGGCGTAGACAGGAATGTAGGAGCAGGGACTGGAAGCGCCCTAGGCCACTGTTAGTTGTTGGCTCTAAGGCTTGGTCTCAGAGACCCGAGGCCCAAGGGAGGTTCTGCCTATCTAATTTTAAGGGAAAAGGAGCCCTAAATACGAGCCAGCATATAGCCAGAGTAGAGGAGCAAGAGTGTACCCCGCGTGTGTGTGTGTGTGTGTGTGTGTGTGTGTGTGTGTGAGTGTGAGTGTGTGTAGCGTTGGGAGGGGGAACGAGGGAGCTAGACAGCTCAAGTCTCAATCACCCCAGAACTCGGCTAATATCTGAGGCCTTGCCAGTCTTACCACGGATGCGATATATTTTCTTGGGGGGTCGACTTGGAGGGAGAGAAGGAATGGATCACAGATCAGGACGAAGGCTGTGGTCCACTGTCAGGATTTCTTCTTTTCCCTCCCGTCCTCAGCCCCTTTGATGGTAGCGGAGGTGGAGCGGTTGTCTGCGTTTCTGTCCGTGTTCCCGCCCTGTGCTCAGGCTGGAGATAAAGCAACCGGTCACCCAGTCCAAAGACCACCTCCGGGAACCCTCAGCCAAGGCCCCAACGCCTACCCCCAGCTCAAGGCTTCGGAATGGGCTAGCTCCAGTGGCCGCGGCGCTTAAACCTCGATTTCCTCGGGCCTCGTAAAAGCCGAGAGCGATTTGCATTCTATTAACTGCTTTTCAATAGCGCATTGACCGGAACTAAAGGATGGCGCACCGGGCCTAATTACCAGCCACCCCCGCGCGCTGTGGTAGTGCAGTCGGGTCCCCCTAGCCCAGGGCTCTGGGCCTCTGCACTGCTGGCCCGCTCTGGGCTCTGCCCGGGTCCCAGGTTGCGGAAAATAGGGACTGCGAGGCCTGGGGACCCTGAAGAGAGTAAGCGGAGGCCAAGATTCGGGAAGCCAGGACCCAGGTCCTCGACGTATAACAACAGTTTGATAAGAGAGGGAGGTTCCCGTGTGGACTATAAGAGTGTGTGTCACAAGGCATGTGTAACGAATGTAGCCCGCACAATAGCTAATTTTAAACACGTTTTCTAGACCTGGGACTTTATAATGTCTACGACTGATCTTGTGAGCCTGAGCAAGTCCCTTCCCCTGGGGGGGGGACACCTCAGTTTCCTCATCTGTAAAATAAGGAAGTCGGACTAGATGAGCTATTATGTTTAAAGTTCTTCGCAGCTCTTACATTTTTCGTTCTAAAGATCCTTTCTGGCTCAAATATTCTTTGTTCTATGTTCTAAGTTCGTAAGGGCTCCAACATTCTGTATTCTGAGCGGACCATTCAACTCCGACGTTCTTTGTTCTGCGTTCTAAGGATTATTTCAGCTCTAACATTCTTTGAGCTAAGGCCTCTGCCTGCTCTGACATCCTGTGTTCTACGCACCCATCTAGCTCCAACGTTTTGTCCCATACTTTCATGTCCGTTTCAATGTCGAATTCTACGTTCTAAAGTGCCTTCCATTCTGAGGCTTCAGTACCATGTAGACTTGGCAATGTGGGATATATAATAATGTAATGATATTTTTTCCAAAACAGGGAATCCAGTAAATATTTGTGGAATTTAATACATCTTATGTCATATAGAATATAAAAAGTGTGATATGTAATATATGGTATACAGTAGAGTACGAAGTAATTTCTATTAAAGGACACAATGTGTAATGGATATTTTAAAATCTATAACATAATGCATAATGCAAAGGTTTAACATGCCCCATAATATATAATACACAACTTAATATTTAACCAATTTAATATAAAGCCTATACACTGTGATGAAATATGTAATGGAGAGCGAGAGTGCTATTAGAAACTCTATCTGTATAATTATGATAGATTAATTAACTGTATGAATAATGGCATGAATATTAGTGACCGGAGATTCTCATCCTCAGAGAAAGTAATGGGAGAGAGGATTGAAGGAGAGATCTTCTCTCACACCTCAAGTCAACTTTAGCTTCTCTTTGCCCCTTTTCTTACATTTTCTGGTTTGGACAGGGATATGAAGTGTGCATATGTGTGTATGTGTGTGAGGTGATGCTGAGGGGGTTTAGAGGTTAGAGAAAGTCTAGCCCTCCCCCCAGTCCTACTAGGCCTCATTTGTTGGGGGGGGCTAGGCTCTGATACAAGGGGGGCCTGGGTCCTCGGGACCCAAGGCAGGCCCCCGCCCCCCACCCAGGCCTAGAGACAGGGCAAGCTGCGAGCAATCATCGATCGGCTGCCGAGCAGAGCTGCGGCTATTGTCCCCAGCTCCCAGCGGGTCCCCTGGCCCAAGGTCCCAGAGAGCGAAGGAGGGAGGGATCAGGACTGCAGGAAGACCCCCCCCAAAGGGTGCCCATTGAGGATGTCGCCTGTGGCGGGATTTTTTTGGGGGGAGTCACTGGGGCCAGATGTTGCCTCCAGCTGTTGACCGCGGGGAAATCTCTCCCAGGAGCCTGGTGTGTGTGTGTGTGTGTTGTGTGTGTGTGTGTGTGTGAGAGAGAGAGAGAGAGAGAGAGAGAGAGAGAGAGAGAGAGAGAGAGAGAGAGAGAGAGAGAGAGAGAGAGAGAGAGAGAGAGAGAGAGAAAGAGAGAGGATTCAGCTGTCCGATTTAGATTCAGAGAGACTGAGAAAGGGAATGAAAGATTGAAGGAAGGCAGACAAAGAGAAGGGATATTCAGATTCACAGATATTCAGAATGAAAGAAAAAACTGAAAGAAAGGAGACGGAAAGATTTAGAGGAGGAAGACAGATATTGAGAGAAAAGAGAGATGGAGATAGAAAAGAGGTGGGGGAGAGGGAGAAAGAAAGCTCTCTCTCTCTCTCTCTCTCTCTCTCTCTTTCTGTGTGTGTGTGTGTGTGTGTGTGTGTGTGTGTCGCGTGTGTGACCTGTATCTAAGGTTGACTCTGGTATGTGATCGGTGGGCTCGGCAAAGACACACTGTCCACACGTGTGCCTCGGCGTCGGCGACTCCAGATGCATATGGGTGTCCCTGGTGGGTTCATGCCTGACGTGCCTGTCTTTGTGTGTCGATCCTTTGGGCACTTGGAGGTCCTCTCTCTCTGGCTCCCTCCCGAAGCTGTCCTGTCCCCACCCTAGTTTGTGGGTTCTCCTCTGACCTTTGCCGCTGGCCGTGGGGCTCCGTGACCGGGAGGCCCCAGGAGGCCCCAGAAGGCTCCGCTCTCGGCGGGCTGGGGGTGGGGATTGATAGCCTGGGCCATTTGTATAGAAACGATGGAGCCAGGGGATCGATGGAGGGGAGTATGAGGGGGTGGGGATTGGGGAGAATAGCGGCAGTGAACCCTTTAGAGCCAGGGCCAGGAGAGTAGGGTTGATAGGCGCTAGGGAGAGGGAAGCCCTCAGACTAAAACGCGGCGCCGGCAGACCTCTCTTTCCACGATGATCCTATAACATCTCAGCGCACGATTCCCCAGTCCAGAGTTTCTCAGGGTAGCCAGGCTTACCTCCTTCCTCTGTCTCACCCCCCTGCCCATCTCGATACAATTCTCCCAAGCAGCTCTGGCCTACAGCATTCCGGGGCATCTCTGTGGGGCTCTAATTGAGTCTCTCAGCTTGAATTCGAAAAGGAGAAGACAGGAGAGAACGGGGTTGGGTGGGGGGCCGGGTAGGAGGAAGGGCTCTATAGAGAAAAGGAAGGGAGACCTTCCCATTCAGGGGCCCTATAACCTACTCCACTTTGGGAGCACGGGGTATGTGGGGGGTGGGGATTCACTGCCAGCCACCTCGTCCCCTTCCCCTCCGCCAGTCTCCAGGACTTACGGGACGCCTGTTGTGATCACAGTCCCGGACTCCTGAACCTGTCAGCCACAGTACTCGGCCGACTCCTTTCCCCAGCCCCTTGACTTGCTCCCAGTTTCCATGCCTTGGCCCCCTTGCCCACCTGTGAATCTTAGCGTTTCCTGCCCAGTCCTCGATCCCAGCCCCCTTACTGTATGCCTTAGAGTTCCTCTTCCCCAACACAGCTTTCCTTCCCTTCCCCAACCCTTGCCAAACCCTCTGTGCGCTCCGCCTCTCCGTCCCAGTGCTAGCTAGGAGTTTTAGCTCTTGCCCGAGCCTTGCCTCTCCATCCCCCCACCCGTCTCGGACCCTTATGCCTGGGACTCTCAGGGTCCCCTTTTCGCCCCGCTCTGCACCCGCCCCGGCCCCCTACCTGCGAGTCTGAGGGCCGACATCCTCTGGAACTCAGGCTCCTGCAGCCACTTCCACATCCTGCGGAAGGTCTCGCGGCCGGACTTGAGCTTACTCCAGGGCTTGGGGTTGCGTAGCAGATCGGAGAGGGTGCCCTGCGAGCGGCATAGGATACGCTGAGCGAAAATGGCCTGGGGGATGCTGTAGCGCTTCAGCTCGGCTGTGATTCTCTGCGCCACTTCTTTGGTGTTGATCTCTTCCACCTGGCCAGAGCTGCCCGCCTGCGAACCCGACGCGGCCGCCGCCGCCTGCCGCTCGCGCTCGGCCAATAGTCCCCCCCCGCCGCTGGCGCTGCCACCGGGACCCGCGTGGTGCCCGTGCGCGCCTAGCCCGTTGAGAGGCGCCATCAGACCCGCTCCAGGTGCCCCGAGGCCACGGCCCAGAGGATCCTCAGCCCGGGCCAGCATGGCCGCGTGCGGCTCGAAGGCGGCCGCAGACAACATCTTCTCCCCGGCCAGGTGCGGCCCGGTGCCGTAGGTCGCCAGCGGGGGCGGAGGCGGCGGGGGCGGCGGCGGCGGCGGCTGCTGTCCGCCGTGCAGGGGGCCCAGCCCGTTGGCTAGCGGGCTCAGCGGCTGCCCCATAGCCGGCACGTCCTTCGCATAATGGCCGTAGAGATTGCCCACGGAGGCCAGCCCCCGGTCGTCTCGCATGAGGGTGAAACTGCCGCTGACATTTGCGGGCAGGCGCTGGTGGGGGTGGGCTCCGTGGGGCGGGGGGCCAGCGGGGTGGTGCGGGTGCGGGTGGTGGTGTGGGTGCGGGGGTGGGTGCGGGTGGAACTTGTCGGAGACAGCTGAGATGGGTGGCAGATGCTGGAGCGGCGTGAGGGTAGTGTAAGAGCCGCTGAGGCTGAGGGCCGGGCCGGGTGAGTCGCAGGCCAGGCTCATGGCTGGGTGCAGCGGGGCGGCCAGCTCGGCCCGGTAGTCAGCAGCGCCGCTCTCCAGCAGCGAGGCCACGCCAGATACCATAGCCGGCCGGGCCGGTCCCCCCACCAGGCCGCGGTGTGGGCCGGGCCGCGCGTGGGCTGGACTCAGCAGCTCCCCGGCCGCCTGCGGATGCGCCAGCCCGCCCAGGTTGTCCAAGCTCAGCTCCATGGCGGCCGGCCGGCCTCCCGCCGGCCCGCCGGCCCCCCGCCGCCGCCGCCTCTGGCCGCCCTCCGAAGGCGCGCCCGCCGCTACTCCATGGGGCCGGCTGGGCGCACTGGCAGGCGGCGGCGACGGCAGAGCTCGGCCCGCGGGGACCCCGGGCACGGCCCCCGGCCCCTGGCCACGATGCTCCGGCCTCCTGGCCCCCCCAGCCCCGGCCCGAGCCTCCCAGCACCGCTGGCTGCCCGCCTGCCCGCTTCCCCGGGGCTCAGGGATGCAGCTGCGAGCGAGCCCGCTCCGCCTGGGCCAGCGCCGAAAACGATGTGGCCGCCGACCGCCCGCCAGCCTTAGCCTCGCAGCCAGCGCCGCCTGACGTCAGCAGCTCCCAGCTCATCAGGGCTCTTGCTCGCCTGCCTGCCTCTCTCTCTCTCTCTCTCTCTCTCTCTCCTCTCTCTCTCTCTCCTCTCTCTCTCTCTCTCTCTCTCTCTCTCTCTCTCTCTCTCTCTCTCTCTCTCTCTCTCTCTCTCTCTCTCTCTCTCTCTCTCTCCCTCTCTCGTTTTGCTTGCTTTCTCTGTTTCTATCAAATCTCATGTATTTCTCTCCTTTCTCTTCTCCACCTCTTCTCTGTCACCCCCATCCCCATTCTCTGTGTGTCTGTCTTTTTCTTACCCCACTCACCCGCCCTCCTAGAACATCAAACAAAACTAGAACTGGGAGAATTGAAAAAAAAATCGACCTTCTGGGGTTTGTGGGCAAGACTCTCGCTCCCTCCTCCCCACACCCAGGTCGGACCCCGGGCTGTGTGTAACCCCTGCCGGAGAGGGAAATCAAGGCTAGCTGCTCAGTGTAGGAATCCAGGGTCCCGAATCCCAACGGTCCAGTGAGGTGTGTTTGTGTCTGCTTATGCGTTTGAAAGGTGGGCTTGGGGGAGACAGATAGAGACAGTGTGCTCCGGGATTCAGAGACAAAGAGGATTAGAATGGATTTCACTCTTTCGTCTAGAGGGGCACCGATCTCCCTGGACATCTTTTCCCATAGACTCGACCTGTCTTCGCTAAGTGTTACACACAATAATCTGTGATGTTTGTGTCTGAGCTGCTTCTGCATACTCGTACGCAGATATATACATACATATATATCTATTGATAAAGACACACATAAGCATCCAGAGGTTTTCCCCCTGCAAGATGGGCAGAGGAGGGTCTCTCTCTTCCTAATCTTCTTTCCCAGGGTTCAGGTGTGTGTGTGTGTGTGTGTGTGTGTGTGTGTGTGTGTGTGTGTATCTCTGTCCGTGCTGCTCCACGGATTGGTAAATGAAGAGAGGAGAATTTGGAGGATGAGGGTCTGGTTGAGACACAAGAGGCTGCAGCTTAGATGCATCTGGGACATTCAGGGCTTGTGGAAAGCCAGTTCTGCCATTGGGATATTTCCTTTATTTAGCCTCCCCCACCCTTACCCCAGCCAAAGCTATAGGTGTGCGGACATGGGTGTTAGTTTGTGTCAGCATTCATATATGTGGATGTGTATTTGTGAATATTTGTGTTTCTATATACATGTGTATGTATTTTGTGTGGAAATGGCTAGACATTTTTGTAGGTTCCTGTGTGTTATGTATATATAGAGGCAAAAGATGCCTCTAAAGATATCCCCTTTGAGCACTTCTAACCCTCCCTGCTATCTATAGGTCCATGTCCATACTCTGGACTGGATCACAAAGGCGCAGAATCACACCCATTCCTAAAGACTTCTGGAGCAATTCATCTTCCTGTAATGTTCACATAACTAACTGGTAATGCAAAGAAGGCATCTTCAACTCCTTTTGGGGGCTGCTGGGCCAGGAATGGGTGCTGGCCTTGGTTCTAAGTCTCTGACAGATCACTTACAAGGGAACATTGGGCAAGGCATTCCCTTTTTCTGGGCCTCAGTCTTCTCTCTGCTGAAATAAGGGGGTTGGACTAGATGGTGTTTAAGTCCCATTTGTGTCGACGTTTAGTGGTTTTAAGGATCGGCTACCCCCCCTTCACTGGGGTAAGGTAGATCTGGGTAACTCTAGGCTTCAATGGATACTGCAGAGAATTTGGATCTGAGCCACCTCCTGCATCCACCACTCACCAAGATGCCTGGCCAAACAAAGCTCTCCCTGTCTCTCTGTGTCTCTGTCTCTGTCTCTCTCTGTCTCTGTCTCTGGCTATTATACAATGAGCTTGGAATTCACCCCCAGGTTGTATGGTTTACTGGCCAAGTACAGGGTGTAGCCTGGAGATTCCCTTCCACCCCATGGGTAGAAAGACAGTTAGATAGAAAGACAGACTAATGTCATGAATATAGACAGACAAGTAGCTGGACAGATAGGTAGTCAGACACATTAGTGTACAGAAAGGTGGCCTGAAGGCCAGAGGGCATAAAAGAAGTTGGAGAAATCCTTTCCCTTCCTTTCCCAAATGCTCTTAAAAGGATAAGGTCAAGGAAACAGTCTCAGCTGAAGCCTTCTCCTTTCCTTGGACTTTCCTGGCCTGCCTGGAGAAGAGCAACAGGGGACTGGGCTGACTGGGGCTGGAGCTTTGCATTTAATGTGGGAATCAAGAGGCCAGCAGAGGTGATCCAACAAGGTGAAGAGGCTGGAGGGGGAGGTGGGACCTCCAGCTGTGGAGTCTGGATTGGATTTTGCAAGGAGCTGGGCTGCTGAGGTACCTGCTGCCAGGCCCCTTTAATTAGGACATTCTCCTCCTAGCTCCCCAGCTCACACTGCCCAGGATTCAGAAGCCCAGTGGATGCTGAGTTGGAGTCTTACCAGCAAAAATAACAACTTATGGATGCCTGGAGGGGAGCTTAATAGGAGGAGGGAGGTCTATGGTAGGGATGGAGGAAAGAACAGATTCTTTCCTCACAGCATCTGCTGTGGGGATGTGAACATGGGAGGAAGGAGTGGTACCTAGACCTCAGATGTGGAAGGGATCCTTAGAACATATAATGTCAGAAATGCAAGGGACCTTGAAATATGTCAGAACTGAGGGAGCACTTAGTGAGTATTTAGCCTAGTTATCATTTCACAAGTGCTAGAGAAGGGAAGTGACCTGCTGAAGGTCGTACATACATTGAGTCAGAGGCAGACCTCAGGATCAGAAACCTAAGTTCCCCCCAGTTCAGGGTCCTTTCCACTGCACCACCCTGCTTTGAAATGTGTGGATGAGCATTGTGTGTACAATGCTTTCTGAAAGCTGCAGGAGGAAATGGGTGTTTGAGAGACAGGTACAGGCCCAGAAAAAACATTTTCATTCAATTAGAGCTATCTATGTTCCGCTATGTTCAGAGCAACTGTGCTCCAAGCTGGGGGAGATACAAAGTTTAGATGAGGGTTCCAGAGCTCTGGGGATGGGGAATAAACTACCTTTTACAAAGGTACCCATTAGGGACAATATTACATAATGTTATCAAAGTTCCTCCTTATACACTATCTTCCTAGGTCTCTATCTTATACTACACTCTGCTGTCCTCTGCAGTCCTGAATCATGGTATCTCAAAGAATCTTAATCCCAGTTTCTCCAGCACCCTCCCCATGTCCCATGGGGACAGGCAGATTGAAAATTATTATCCCCATTTTACAGCTGAGAAAACTTGGGCTCAGAGAGGGGTTGTGACTTACCCATAGTCACCTAGTCAAGTCAATGAGTATTAAGCATCTAGCTAGTAGGTAAATAGCAAAACCTCCACACTATGCCTCATTATTCCATCAGACTGCTTATTTTAGAATCACAGTGTCTTAGCCTTTAACTAAGACCTGTTCAAGGCTCCATGGATCTCCTTTGAACTCACTTCCCATCTCTGTCTCTTTCTCTTACAAACTATAACTTCCCTTGAACACAGCTCAGAACACTTCCCACTGGAGGCCACCATTGATTCCCTCTGACACTTATTGCTCTCTTCTTGAAATGACCCTCACTTAAAAGCAGCATGATCAGAATGGAAAGGGTTCAAGATTTAGAGTCTGGGGCCCTGGGTACAAATCCTGAATCTCCCTTTTACTGTCTGTGTGACTGTGGGCAAGCCACTATTTCTCTCTCGGCCTTCATTTCTTCAAGGGGTTGGATTTCATGACCTTGGTATGATCCCTTCTGGCTCAAAATCTACAATAGGATGAACTTTGTATTTACTTGTTTTGCCCATGTGCTCAATTCATCCCCCTCTCCTTCCTCCCTCCACCCCAAGAGACTGTAAACTCTTGGGAGGACAAAAGCAGGAACTGTCTCCAGATCTTTCGGCTTCGTATTCCAACACCTAGCATAGTGCCTTGCACACAGCAAGCAAGTGCTAAATGTTTGTGTTGAATCGGATCCCCACTTTAAGATTCTCTAGTTCTGAGATGCTTGAATCTCTGAAGTATCTCTCTCTGGGTTCTTTATCTAGTGATAGAAGGTTCAGTCCCTCCTGAGACCTCACCTTTCCATTGTTGAACAGCTCTGGCCCTTAGGAAGCTCGGCCTCTTCAGAGCAGAAATGCACATTCTTGGTATCCCCACGTCCACCCCCCACCCCCAACTCCCAGCACTTGGAGCTTTCTTCTATAAAGCATTACTGAAGTTACTATGAGCTTGGGTTGGGGCAGAAGGAAGGGGCCTTCCCCTCCTCTCCCCTTCCCTTCCAAGAGCTGGGTGAGCAGCCTGTTAGTAATTAGTAAAATATAATGGGGAAAAGGGAGCAAGCGTGCGGGCTCTGCTACACCCAGCGCCCCCACGGATCGATGCCACGTCATTAGGCAAATTGCGGGGCCCGGAGTGGGGGAGGAAGCAGTGGGGGCTTCTCCGTTTGAGGCCAAAGAGGGCAAGAGCCCCCTCTTCATGCTAGCCTCAGGCCCCTACCTCTGGGTTCAGAAATCTGTCCATCTCTCTTCATTCAGAGCCCAGAACCCACAAGGCAGTCTCCAGTTCCCGGTGGTCCAGATTTCTCCTACTACTCTCATAGCAGAGCCCAATCCAGCCAGTCTTAGAGACAGAGCGACTCCGAATCTCAGGC